GGGGGGCAATAAAATTGAAAAAATAAATGTGCTGCTCCTTTTCAATTTATGGACAATCTAAGGACTAATGAAGTAGAACAAAACCTAGCAGGCTTAAGTTTGTTTATGTTCTTTTATGATTGAGTTGCCTGATAAAAAAAACTCAATAAAACCTACACTGTAATAAGGGCCGATAATCCAAAGCTAATAATAAAAAGGCACAAAAACAATAACCAATTTGAGAACCTCAATATTTGTAAATATCACTAAACCCCGAATTGAGAAATGAAATACACTAATCTCTCAAAACCCAAGTGAACTTGGTTCAAATTGGTGAGCTTTGAACTGTGTACTTTTCATTTTCTTGATCGAAAAGGTTGAATTTTTTCTTGATCCAGAAAGAAAAAAACTCAAAATTCAAAATTAGGTACTCATTATTTTCGTTTTCCTTTTTCTCTGTATTGTTAATAGTAGTAATGGAGCCTTGGACACTATGTTTTTTGCCTTTTTCTCTGTAGTGTTAATGGTAGGAATGGAGCCTAAGATGTTATGTTGAGGCACCTCCCCCCTACCCACCAATGGCTCTATCTCATCCCCGCATTGTCTTGAAAAACACATACACAATGTTGCTTCAAAACTATTTTCCCTATACCAAAATCGTTTTTCTCCGGTGGGTCATTGTACAATGGATGTTGGGATAAGGCTTGAATGATGATGACAATGTACAATGGATATGCAGGTATCTGATAAATGGGCATCTTTCATGATTCTACAACAAAATTTAATAATTGAAATTCAGTTATCACTCTAAGATAACAAAAATTGAATTATGCATAACTTATCCGAGGACCATGTTCTCAAAACAATGAAATTGCATGGTAGATGATCGGATTATTAATTTCTTATAAATTAGCACCTGATAAGTTGGCTTTGAGCTGCAACAGCTTCATTCAACCACTTTTTGTTTTTTTTTATTTTTAACATAGAGTGAGTCAGAGATCTGGGCCCCTAAATTGAAAAAAACAAAATTGAAACTCAATATTCATAAATATCACTAAACCCTAAACTGAGAAATGAAATATACTAATCTCTCAAAACCGAATTGAACTTGGTTCAATCAGTGGGCTTTGAATTGAATACTTGATTGTCCCGCCTTTACTTATGTTAGAAAAGGGTTTAGGGGCTATTTAATTGACTATTGTGTGGTACTCATAGGCTAGGAGGCCATATTTTTTAAAGGCTGCGCTGTGTGGTCTATTTTAACAAAGGATGAAACTCAGGGGTGCATGGGGAACATGGTGGATATAAGGCAGGTCATTTGGTCCCTTCTTTCCTTGTGGATGGGGTGAGGAAAAATCCCTATTGAGAACTGTTGTTGGAGGGTAGCAGATGCCATAAGGAGAGACAAAATGCTATGTGTCTCTCTTTTGTAGGTGGAGCTGCCAATGGACACAGCCGGGCCTGGGCCTCAGACGCTAGCGGGCCAGTCCACATGCCAATTTCAGGCTACGGATTGGACCAGGCCGGGCTAGAATATAGATGTAGTGGTTTTTGGACGAGCCGGGCTGTTAATGGGCTGGCACTGAAAAGGCCCGTTTTTTTCATCAAGTTGGGCTGGACCTGTAAACTACCTAAGGCATGCGGCCTGGCCCATTGAGAGTTTTTTTTTTTTAAATTATTTCACTCTTCAATTTTTTATAGGTAACTATTCAATTTTTTTATAATTAAAAAAAAAACTTTACCTTTCCCCCTTTCTTTTTCTCAATTAACCTTTTACCCAAATAAACCTAACCCCTCTCTCTCTCTAAACCAATGTTAGAAAAATCAGGTGATCTAACCGGTAACCGCCCGGTTCTGCCTTCACAAACGCCCTCTCTCTCTCTCTCTCTCTCTCTCTCTCTCTCTCTACTCTCTCTCTCTCGCATTTTGTCACCTCGGTCTCTCTCTCTGCTTTCTCACAAACCCCCCCACTCCTCGCTCTCTCTGGCCTCACTCACAAATCCTGCTCTCCCATAAAGCCCTCTCTCTCTCTCTAGAAGCAGATCGACCACCTCTCTCTCTCTAAAATCAGATTACCAACACAAGGATCAGATCAACCTCTCTCTGTGTGTTAAATCAGATTAACAAAAAAAGGTATGTATTTTTTGTTTGGTTCCTGAAATGGGGTTTCGTTTTTTAGGCTTTCTTATCGATATTAATCCATGGAAAATTGATGGGTTTTTTAGCCTGGAGTTGTTTCCAAAATTTCATTAGTCCTTTGTTTTTTCTTGGATATGTTTGATATATACATAGATGGGTTCTTCTTAGTCCATTGCATGGTTTTCCATTTTTGAAATTGTTTTGGTTTTGAGATGAATTCTCTGATTTCTCCTGATATTTCTCATAGCTATCCTTTTCTGAAGTTGTGTTGGTTTTTGTAAGCCGAATCCTCTGTTTTATCCTCCTCCTCCTCATGGTTTTTTATTTTCTCTGCAAATATTTGTACAATCTTCATTACCCATTTGAGACAATTGGTTAAAGTTTCCAGAAGGAAAAAAAATCATTGTTCCCCTATTATTTTGCATGCATATGTAGAATCATCAGTTCCCCTTAGAATTGATTAAAAGTTTTGAGACTGAATACTTTTTTTGAAAAGCAGTCCTATGTGAGAGAATTGCTTTAAAAGTCATGAAATAAATCCTTAGGAGAACTCAATGTTTGTGGGCATTTTCATCAGATTTTACTCTCTCTCATACACCCATACATATGGAAAATCAAAAGTATCCATTATCATAATCTAATTGAAATCCTTAAACTGATTAGATTCAAATAGGTGGTTTGAATACTGGTTCTGAGAATTCATTTGGTGTGATAGAATTGCGCTTGATGATCTTTTAATATACATGTTTTAATTTATGTGGTTGTTTGTTTGTTTGTCAAGTGTTTTTGTTTTCCTCTTTGAGTTCTTTCTGTTGCATCTTTTCTTTTTCTATTTTCTAGAATTTGGAGGTTCCATTGACGATTGAGATTCAAAATTGTATTAATTGGTCTATTAGATTCTTTACTTATTTGTTTTACCTTTTTTATTTTGCTTTCCTATTCTTTTTCCTATATCAGTTTATGTGTTCTACTTCTTGATGATGATGAGAAACTAAGATTCTATTTGAGGCTTAGTTTATTCTTGCTTTCACTATTCCGTTGCTTGCTTCTTTGTTATTGGTGTTGCATTGGTAGATCATCATTTGTATATGGGCTTATGTTTGTGGCTGATTGAGCGTTTCCTTTACTGTTATTAATGCTTATATTTCTTTGCTCATATTTTTTCTTGGCAATGGTGGACTCACTGTTGGTGATTCTTTGAGTTGCTTGTCGATTCATTTATAAAATTCTGAATCGATCCCTGTGTGGTTGTATGTATGTGTGTAAGTGTACATCTGCATGTTTTTCCTTGTCTCTGAGTCACTGTTACTTCCTTTTCATGTTCTTTTTAAGTTTTTGATTTTGTTATCCATCATGGTATTGAAGAAATGGGATTGGCTAGACTTGTTTCTTTTCAACTTCCAAAGCATGATTAGAAATTTAGAATATTGCTGGCTGATCTATTGGTTTGATATTTTGAGTTCTTTTTAAGTACCAAAGAAGTGACAAATAACTATGAAAATGCCTAGTTCATTGTTTCCTATTGCTGTGGTCACACACACAGAGACATACACACATACACTCATGTAAATGCTTCCAAAACTCATGAATTTTGAACGATTTGATGCTAAATATAGATTTTTAAGAGTTAGCATCATTATGTCGGTTTGCGGGTAATTACTAACAAAGATGTCTGAAGTTAGTGAGAATGAGAACACTGTAGAAAGCCAAGTGGCTTCAATAGGTCCAACTTCTTGAAAGGAAGTTAAAATCCAAAGTTTGGGAGGATTTCACTTTAGAAATTAAACAAGATGGAACTAGAAATGCCATTTGTAAGCATTGTAATCGTACCTTTGTGGCAAAAACTAGTGCCAGAGAGAGAGGGGGTTTTGTGAGAGAGCAGAGAGAAAGACCGAGGTGACAAAATGTGTGTGTGAGAGAGAGAGAGAGAGGGCTTTGTGAAAGCAGGACCAGAGAGGCGAGTAAGAGAGACAACGAACCAAATTTTAGGGTTTAGAGAGAGAGAGAGTGGGGGTTAGGTTTATTTGGGTAAAAGGTTAATTGAGAGAGAGAAAGGTGGAAACGAAAAGTTAATTTTTTATTATAATTTTTTTTTGAATAGTGAACTAAAAATAATAATTGACGAGTAAAATAATTATTAAAAAAAGCTTCTAAATGGGCCAGGCTGGGTTCATTTGGGCCGGTTCATGGTCCCATGCCTTAAGGTAGTTTACAGGTCCAGCCCATCCCGATGGGAAAAACAGGCCTTTTGAAGGTTGGCCCGTTAACAGCCCCGGCTCGTCCAAAAACCAATGTACCAATATTCTGGTCCGCTCCGTAGCCTGAAATTGGCCCGTGGACTGGCCTGCTAGCGGCCCGAAACCGTGCCCGGCCTGGAAGACCGAGGTTCGGCCCTGTCCATTGGAAGCCCTACACATGGTGGGTTGAGGTGGGCTAATCCATCACATTTTCCGATTATGTAAGAAAAGTTGGGGCTTATACCGCATGCAACTGGCTCCTATTCAAGAAAATAAACGAGAGAGAAGGGGATACGCGAATCCTTTTAGATACAAACCACCCCCCATTCCTGCTTCTGTTCCCTTTCTTGGTCTGACTCCCTTGCTTTTATTACTAGTGAATGACTGGATTGTGATAAATAAGTTGTCCATCTCAATAATAGTGTTTAGTAGCCAACTTGTATTTAGTTTCTGCGTCACAACTTGATTCAACAACGCAGTACACTTTGATGGTGTTTTGCGATTGGGGAAATATTTTGATAAATGATTTTGAAAAATTTTCAGCATCGTTCGCATTTAGTTGTAAATTGTGTTTTCTGGTATTTGCATTTGTTGAATTTTGTGATCTCAAGAGTTGATTTTCTTCTTCTTTTTTATTTTTAACAGAGGATCATTGAGGGAATCATCTCTTTTTGAAAGATTGAATTGCTAAAGATTTACTGTTTTTGTGGGAACACAAACACGAAATACCTACAATATTTCGAAATGACTATTAGATCTGATCCCCTCCGTTCCAAAATATCTTGGAAGGGAAGGTCTTCTGGTTGGGCCGCCTTTGATCGGAAGCAGCGTGAAGCTCGTGGTGATTTACCAAAAATTGAAGCAGACCCATACCCACCAATGCCCCATTCCTCTTCATCGTCTTCAATAACCCAATCGAAAAAGATCATAAGAACTTACGACAATGGAGATAACATGGGTTATGGGAATCCTAGGGCTGCTTCGCTTATTCCATCAATCATAGTGTTGAAAGATTTCTCGCCACAAAAGTCTTTTTCTTCAGTACTAAAACCCTCCACAGATTCCGACTCATCTATTAACAATTCTAAACTCAGAGGTCAGACTACTGAAGAAACTAGCAACGAAGTTGTTATTGAGAATCTGAAGAAGCAGTATGGTTGGGCTGATCTCAGTTTGATTGGGGATGTCTTAGTTGCAGTCAATTATGACAAGGACCAGGCTTGCACCCTCTTGGAATCCATGGAATATCAACCTAGAAAATCTGAAGAATCGAAGGAAGAATCCATAGATCCAACTGGTGGTCTTTGTGAGAGGATGGAATGTGTTGAACTTGGAAAGCCATTAGCACTTGATTCGAACAGTGACTTATGTCGGACACCAGCTATGCGGAGTGTGCTTTCTGCACCTGTTGAGCCTGAGTGGGAAGAGGATGATGTATATTTGACCCATCGAAAAGATGCGATTCGGACGGTCAGGTGTGTGTGTGTGTAGGAAAAAGATCCTGTCAGTCCAAGGGCTGATGTAAAATAGTATAAGTCCAATGGCAATCTAGGCTGATCCGATTGTCACAATTGTATGTCATCTTGGAAGTTTCATTTTTTTTCTACAAATCTAAATTGCTTGAAATTTGGAGCGCCTTCTCTTGAAAACTAGGTGCACCTAATAAAAATATTTAAAAAATATTTCACAAAAAATAAATTACCCAAAATACCTTTAGAACTTTAAGGGGTATTTTGGTCAATATTTTTAACTAAATTTAATTTTAATATTTTTATTAGGTGCACCTTAATTAGAAGAGTGGACGCTTTAAATTTCAAGTGGTTTGGATTCATAGAAAAAAGATTAAAATTCAAATATGAAATGCAATTATGGTCATCATATTGGCCCAGATTCAATTTGGGCCACTGGGTGTCTGCTAGGCGGTGTACATCAGATAATCCCATATGTATATGACTTGTTGGTATTTTCATTTGTATTAACAATTGCATTTCATCTATCAGTATCTTGTACCATTTTTTTTTCTTAAATAACTGAAATAGGTTGCTGTTTTCTGAATTCTATAAAACTGTTGGCCTTGGATAATTATTCTTCAAAGTTCCAACCATGGTTTCAGAAATTCTTTATTTTCTTACTTCATTCATAGTGCTACTTTATTTCTTAGGGTGGCTAGTCAGCACTCACGGGCTGCCAGTAATGCATATTTAAGAGGGGACCACCATGTGGCACAACAGCTCTCATCGAAGGCCAACAAGGAGTGGTTAAAAGCCGAGCAATTAAATGCTAAGGCAGCTGAAGAAATTCTTCGTATTAGAAATAGTGAGAATGACATGTGGAAATTGGATTTACATGGCCTTCATGCATCAGAAGCAGTGCATGCCTTGGAGATTCATTTGAAAAGGATTGAGACTCAACTGATGAAGAGCAAGAATTCTTTATCTTATGATGCAATAACTAGTCTGATAGAGGGGAAAGAAGGTCCTAGTTTTGCTGGGAATGTGGATGGTTTAGATGGGGTGAAGGGTGGTGATGAAACATCACTACCTGTACTTCCACTGCCAAGGCCAAGCCAGACACTACTGCAGGTTATAACCGGTATGGAGACAACTCAACTAAGTTAGGTTTCCCCTAACTAAGTATTGCACTTTTTTTTGGGTTAATATTCGTTTCTTTCTTGGGTAGGCTAGTGTTATGGGTTTCACTTTCTACAAGTTGAGCTGCATGAGATCGAAAATTTAGGAACGTCTGTTCATGTACACCCAGTGTTTTAAAAACCGGCGTGCCGATTCGGAACTGCCCGAGCTGGCTTGGAACTGGTGGGTATTGGTCCAGGTCTCCATTTGGCCTGGTTCCCACCAGTATCTCTTTACTTTTTCTTTTTTTCTTCTATACAAATAATCCCTGCAGGACCAGTGAACAGGATCAGAACAGCTGACCCACGCCGGTTCACATAGTGATGTTCCTAGTGATATTCCTTCGTCATTGATTTGCTGGTGATCGTATTGATACTTGCTACTATTATAATCTAGTCATTTAAAAACAATAGTTATTTTTAAGTCAGTAATAACTGCTGATTTTATGTATTCTGCTCCTCAGTCAATTCACCAAGTAGGAATCATTACTCGATGACTTCTCTCAATTAGTCGTTGAACTTAGATCACTTGTTCTGCTTTTGGGTTTCATGAGATGGGAATGACAATTATGATGCCTCGTGTATTTCATCTCTCAAGAATGCATAGACTCAGTAAACTTATTTGAGCACCATAAATTAGGCTGTATGTGCATTTAATTTTTGATTGCTTTGTTGGGGATACAATATTGAAGTTTCCTGCAACTTTACTTTCCAATCGGTGTGGGCAAAACTGGGACAGACATTCTGTATCAGGATATAGCTTTTGTCTGATGGATTGATGTTGTGATAGCTATTTCATGTAGTAATTGGTCAATTTTGCTGTGCAAAAATTGGAAATAGTAGCAGAGCATATTAGTTGATATGGGAAAATTTGGCACACTTGGTGGTTCAGTACTAAATGTCCAAAATATCAATTTACAAACACAGACTGTGTACCAAATGCAATTATGATTTCCCCAAACTGCAGATGTGATGGCTTTTCTTTGGAACATATTTAAAAGTTTTTATGAATGGACTTGAAGATCTGCATGAGAGACCTTCTTAAAGTCATTTTGAATTCTTGGATATTTCTAACCTCTTTAAGATTGTGATGATGGATTTGTTTATCACCATTTCATGAACTTTGATCATTTCTAAAGTTGTTGAGATAGTCTTGTGGTTTTTTTTAGTTTGTTGACTTCGAATTTGCAGTCTCTTGCGCTGTGTTGCTAACTTGCAATCGTGTTTGGACATGTGGATAATGTTGTACCGCTTTCCTTTGACTGCAAGCTGAGCATTCCTATCTGTTCTTTTTCTCGTTTTTGTTCTTTCGGGCTTCTGAAAATGATTGAGAATTTCTGAAAGGGTAGGGAAACCCTAAAAATCAATAAGTTTTTGTTTCTAGAGGAGATAAGACTAACCATCCCTACGCTGGTTATAGGGACAGGCAACCATAGTCATGGAGGCGCATCTCTTCCTGCAGCTGTAAGAAGTTTCCTGTTGTCCAAAGGGTAAATTTACCGTAAACTTTTAACCGTTTAGCAATTTTAAAACTCTCTAAAATGCCCCATGAATATTCTTGTCATATATAAATCTGTGGTTTTCAGCAATTTTATTCATTTATCCTTCCTTGGGATTCCTGTAACGTTTTGTACCTTGCTCTGCATGCAGGTATAATTTTCACGAGGCTAGACCTGGGGTAATCGCCCTAAGGCCCAAGTTTCGCCTCAACTGAATCCTGTAATTGTACACGAGTTGTATCTAATTTATACGTTCATGTTTCTTGGTACTGTCACAATAGTAACATGAAATAAGGAGTTCACGATACAGGGGCCTCATAAACATGCACTAAAGATTTTGAAAGTATGCATCCATAACCATTTTCTGTAAGGTGGCAAGGGGCCCGGCTGTGTGGACTAGCATATGTGGCCCATTGGGCTGGGCCAGTCCGTCCTGGAGCAGTCCAAGGATGAAAGTATGCATCCATAACCGTTTTCTGTAAGGTGGCAATGGGCCCGGCTGTGTGGGCCAGCATATGTGGCCCATTGGGCTGGGCCAGTCCGTCCTGGAGCAGGCCTATCATGGCACGGCTCGACATTCTATCAGGGTGGATAGGGTCCAACCCAGCTCTGGATTCCCGGCCCGGCTCCATCGATGCTTGGCGCATTGCCACCCCTAGGTCAATTTTTTGCGCGTGCGTGCATGATTGACGAACGATGGACATAGAATTCCAAACAATCCTTTCAATCTTTTAGAGCTTACTTTTTCGAATCAAAACAAAACGTGTCTGATTGGTGGACAATGAATCCCTTGAGCGACTGCCTTTCATTTATATAAGCCCAATGGGGCACACACACGTACGCATATAGAAAACTAGTGTTTCAAAATCCGGGGTGGATCGTTCACCACAAAATCAATATCGGATTGCTGGAACGGCGATCTGGATTGGGTTTGAATCGGTTCGAATTGATGATCCAGAAAATATTAAAAATAAATGAAATAAAATTAAAATTAAAACAGGATTTGTGGAATAGGGATTTAGAAGGGGCATACACTGCACAACTACTTTGGGCAAAAGAGTAACTAGGGATGAGTTATTTTATCATAAATTTTGAGATAAAAATGATTATTTCTGAGAAAAAAAATTGGACTAAGCTTTTGAAACTTAGAATTTGCCATCCGAAAATTAGATGGCTCTTGTTGAATCAAGGGATGTTATTTTTTTTTGGCGGCACATAAAAGTCCTATTTATTGTTTATTTATTTATTTTTGAGTTTGGTTATTAGGGCCTAGAGGTTATATTCCAAGGTTAAAAAATAAGGTTCGTATATAATGAGACCATTTACCTTTGGGTGTAGTTTGTATAGAGCCTAGCTTCTAAACAATCAAATTAGAGCCTACTTTCAAATAGTATCGAGAAATGTGGTTTTATTATTGGAAATTTTTGTGTTAGCCTTAAAATATATTTTCATATGTATTTATGAAGTTTAAAGCTTCAAAAATAGTGTAGAACGACATATCTATGAAAACTTGAAAATCGTGAACATTAACGATCTAAAAATACGTTACAAAATATAGTATGTCCAAAACTCGAAATCCATTTTTTTTTTTTATGTCCATGCATCTTGATGTCGAGATGATCAATCTAAAGACATTTGGGCATCAAAACAACCTCTTCTAGTGAACTTTTTGAGGTAGGCTCAAATTTGATTGTTGAGAGCCTTGGTTCTATATAAGCTTTTTCCTTTACGTTTTTTACATGGATGTCACAATTATTTACCACCATTTCATGTGAAATCTGAGAGCTTGGGTATGTCATAAAATTCGAAAAAATTTCTTTTGAACTTTGAACCTGATCAATGAAATAAATGCAGCCACAAATTTTACATCTAATGGTCAAGTTAAATTGTGACCACCTTGTATAAAAAATAAATGGTCTCATTATATACTTTCCCAAAAAAAATATTCCTTATGTGAGTTTTAGCCGAGGGAGTAAATACACAATATGCTTTTGGGGGAACAGAAAATCTTTAAACCATTAATTGTTTGGAGTTTAGTTTTTGAGTTAAGGATGGGTTGGCAATGACCCTTGTAATTCATTAAAAAGGCAATGAAGAGGGAGAGGAGGTGGAGAGAGAGAGAGACTTCAATCAATTAATCGTTAATAAAATAATCCTAGTAACTACCCAATTTGATGGAAATAATTTACGAATAATAATTTGTGTTATTAATAATAAATCAATGATTTACTATATCAACGGTTCATTTGCAGTTTTTATATTTTTTAGTTTATTTTGTTAGTCTGAATATTTTTTTGTTTCTGAGATGGTAAATATGTTTCTGAGATGGTAAGTAGGAAAGGGTTTCCTACCGGCAGTAGTAGGAGTGGAATTTAGGAATTTTAAAAAATGGTTAAAATCAAGTAGATCTACAACTATACGAAAATCTTGAAAAATGTACGGTGTAGA